CATTGGCTTTAACCTTTTTCAGAATATACTGCTCTGAGAAATCAGTTAAGTTACAGGTATAAACCAAAATGAGCACTTGAAATTGTCAAATGTTTGGAGTGCAAAAGTGGAATTTGCAAACATACTCCTTTAAAAAAAAAAAGGGAGGGGAAAAGAGTTGATCAAATAAATTAGGGAAATCATTGACCTACATTACATTCATACAGTATGTTTTTTTGAGACCTATAGTCTATGAGATTGTTTTAACACGGGCAGTATTGCATAGAAACTTCCATTTGGAATTGAAATATTAGTTGCAAAACTGAATATCCTTCTCAGTTCAGTGGTAAGAGCTGTTGGTCATTTTTTCCATGGACAAACTGTATCAGTTTGTTTCAATTTGATTTGAACCTTTCAAAAGCAGTGCCCGCCTGCCCCCACCCCCGGGTGAACAGGGTAATGCAAAAATAGATTTACCATTCTTAGTCTTGAGTTTAAAAATGTAGTCTGTGCTGACTTGGCATAACATAACTTCTGAAAACTATTTTCCAGAATGCTGGAGCAGTGATTGGAAAAGGTGGCAAAAATATTAAGGCACTTCGTACAGACGTGAGTATATATGAGTTTGAACTAATTTAACACCAATTCTTTCAGAGCACTACATCGAAAGCTTGATTGCGTGCATTTCTAGAAATGGGAGCAATTCAACTCTAGACATCAGTAGTCTAGTTACAAGCCATTTGTAATGATTGTTAGAGTAGATAACTTAAGTTCTTCAATTTCTATTGTAATTAAAACCCATCTTGACTCATGTGGGAGGAGAGGTTTATATTAAATCTCTTCGCTTTTGAATAGTATTCCGCTAAATTACACACTTCAAGTGAGTTAACATCCTAATTAGAAATATTGACAAAGCTTAAACCCCTTAATTGTACCATTTCCCATATGTGTGAATCAATTATAGTACTACTGTACACACTTGCAGGTGGCTGGCTTAACCCAGTGATAGAGGAATTCTTTAACTTCCTTTAAAAAAGCAAACAAACAAAATGGTCCATCTGTTCCTTGACAGCTTGCACATGAAGCACAAAAGCATTAATGTTAAGGTTGCTTGATTTAAATACGGGTATAGAACAGTAAAGGAACATTCTATTCTCTTACTGGGAAGCATTTTTAAATGGTCACGACTTACTTGCCTATTCACATTTTACAGTGGGTTGACTCTTGTGATTAGACACATGCTCAGCGTTAATGTTGTGTATTTATAAAACTTGGCAACACTTCTTAAATTCCATTTGTTTACACTCCTGTACTTAACATCAGCTACAATTTCAACAGTTTTTCCGATCAAGACTCTGTTCAACACAAGATTTGGCAATGTATCATTACAAATCAGTTCCAACTAAGTTCATAAACTACCACAACTAGAATTGAGGTTTAAGTTGAAATGGTCAGGAATCATACATATGCTCACTAACTTCGGCAGCTAGTTGGTTTTTTCTTTTTAGGGTTTTTTTGTGGTTTTTTTTTTGTTTTGTTTTTTTCCAAGTAAATCAACATGTCACCTAATTCCAGATAATTTAGATTGGTCTGGAAAACTAACTTCCCGATTTGCCCAAGGTTCCAGTAATATCAATCTCGACAGGTTTTGTGTCTACCCTCATGAGCCAGCCTGCTACTGAAACATGTAAAAGTAAAAAGTAGTTTAGTCAGATCGAGTGACTCATTTTTAAGGTCCATACTGTTAAGCCACAGTCGGTGTAGCAATCCGTTATTGTGTTAGTCTTCAGAACAACTTAAGCTTGTTTCATTAATTGAGAGTAATGAGTATAGTTTGTATTAAATTAAAATTTATTGCTTTTCCCCCTTTTCCCTCTCCTTGTTTTTTTGGCCATATATCTCCGTTGCCCATGTACTGGATCGACTTGCCCCTGCGTTGCCCACCATGACGTTGGCCCATCCGCCCCTGAACGCCCATGTGAAAACCCTGGTTGGCTATGCCCAAAAATGTGCTCGTTGCCAAACGGGTACCATACTTGACAACTTCCGATTGAATACCCATGCCCAATGCCAACATCCACGAACGCCAATGACCAATGCAGTACAATGCCAGTGTTTCAGTCCCAGACAGCAGTGGCCCCGAGCGGTATGTCCCAACAGTTTATGCCTCACTGCCTGATTAGAAAGAGAGAAATGTATTTTATTACCTGCCTTTGATATAATTAAATAGTATCCCCTTATAGACGGTGTATTGTTTTTTTTCAAGTTTTCTGTCTTATTTTCCCCATTAAGTCTTTTTGTCACTGAACTTTTACGTGAGTTGCCCACCCAAACAATCCACTAATTTTATTTCAATGGAAGGAGCACAGCTTCAAGTGTTGCATATTTGCTGCATTGTAAATCAAATTGTTTCAAAACAGTCTCTCGCTCTGTCTTTGTGGCCCACCTTGCTCCCCTCAACATTGCCTGTTCATAATTATTTCTGATGAAATGCTAACTCTGGTTCACTTTCCTTCACTTCTCATTTGTTTTGTCTTTTTTTTGTCTTGCATTTGTATTTGTTTTCTTGGAGAGCCCATTAGTAATCTGATTTCTAACTGGTCTCATAATCTTACTCCAGATAAAATGTTCACCACTTGCATATCCCCACTTTTTCTATGAGAAGGTGTGCCAGTCTTACCAATGTAATAGCGAGGGTATCCTAAATTAGTGGTGGCGGGGAACATGAATATTCACTTCTACTTTCAGTTCTGCGTCAATTTCTTGCCCACTTAATCTGAGCCCTTCCAAAAGCCCATTCTGTCTTTCTTTCTCTCTGCAAGACCTACCTAATCTTAAATTTATCATGCATATATTGGGCATAAACAAAGATGCATGTGTTGTAAATTGAGCAAAGAGGTTTACTTTAAATGGGGAATATTAATTGTAAGCTCTTCTGTGTAGAAAATCTTGTTAGAATTTTGTGTATGATGATGAAAAAAATTTACTTCTACTTCTTCTTTTCCACCTTCTCCATATTGTCGGGCATTATGGCCTCCAACAGCATCTTGAGTATCAGTGCAGATATAGAGACAATTGGAGAAATCTTGAAGAAGATTATCCCTACTTTAGAAGAGGTATGTCTCTTAATGTTGTTTCGTTTTAGGGGTAAAAGATTAGCTTTTAAAACAAGATGGTTCTAAATGATTTGCTGCTTTTTAAATACAGGAAATAGGAAAATAAAAAACAAAAGCCTTTTAAAGAAGAGTTACAGCTCTCAGACTACATATTGGCATTTTTTTGGTGGAGGACAGAGTCAGTCACTATTTATTAAATTAACGTTTCGAACAGCTTCCCCCCTTTCAAAATACTGCCTCCTGACTTGTTCTGTCCCCATTTTGAAGTAGTTGTATTTTAACTTGTATCCTGCGTTGGCTTTGTAAGTAAGAGTGTTGCACTGTTTGATATCTTTTTAAATCTTCGTAGAAAGTTGTGCAATGTAATGTAATAAATAAGGAAAACTGATTTGACATCAGTTTATGTTGAGGTGAGGTGCTTAAGTAGCTGTGATCCCATCAAAGGAAATACAGGATTACAATTCAGGAATAAATCAAGTCATACCATTGGCTTTGGAGAAAAAACTTAACAAAACCCCAAATACTTTAAAATTTTGTGTCACTAATATTTTATTATTTTCTTTGTATGCATCTTTCTTACAGTATCAACACTACAAAGGCAGCGACTTTGACTGCGAATTAAGACTTCTCATTCACCAAAGTTTGGCAGGAGGAATTATTGGTGTCAAGGGTGCTAAAATTAAAGAACTCAGAGAGGTACTTGTTTCCTGTTCTTCTGAGGTTTGGGTTTTGTTCAATAAACAACTTAGTGTTTTGTGTTCATAAGGGGCAAGTGTAAGTATCTTCTGTGCAGTAATTCCTTCAGAACATACTGCATACATGATGTTGATGTTCTGAGATGGATCTGTGAGTTGCAACTTTCTTGCAAACCCTCAGAAGTCAAGTCACTGGTGATAGAGCCTAGGACTTCTTATCAGGCTCCTCAGCAATATTTGTGGTAGAGTAATGTTTTATAAGAAAGGATTTTTTTTTTTAAATGGCATTCATCACTCGTCCTAGAATGAACTGCTGCATAGACTAGATTTATTCCTATGGTTGGAAATGCAAAATGGTTTAGGGTGCATGCATCTCCACAAACTCTCTATGATGATAATTCAATAGGTGTCTGAATATTACTGTAAAAGGGCTTTATTTTTATGATTTTTTTTATAATTCTACCTCCTAGAAGACTATTGTTTTCTTTCAGTAAAGGAATGAGATTTTAAAAAGCTAATGATCTCTATGAACTTAAAACGCCTCTGTTTTCTGTCCTTTCTTGGCATTGTGTCAGAGGCAATTTCAGGTCAGTTCAGATACAAGCTGGTAACTGTTCGCATGGGTTGGGAAAGGCAAGATAACTAGTGTCGTGGTTTAACCTCAGCCGGCAACTGAGCACCACACAGCTACTTGCTCACTCTCCGCCCCTGGTGGGATGGGGGAGAGAATCAGAAGATTAAAGTGAGAAAACTCGTGGGTTTAGATAAAAACAGTTTAATAATTGAAATAAAATATAATAATAGTAATAATAATAATACACAAAGCAAGTGATGCACAGTGCAGTTGTTCACCACCTGCTGACCGATGCCCAGCCAGTCCCCGAGCAGCAGCCCCCCCAGCCAGCTTTCCCCCAGTTTATATACTGAGCATGACATCATATGGCATGGAATATCCGTTTGGGTCAGCTGTCCTGGCTGTGTCTCCTTGCAGCTTCTGGTGCACCTCCAGCCTTCTCAGTCGGTAGAGCATGGGAAGCTGGAAAGTCCTTGACTAGTGTAGGCACGACTTAGCAACAACTAAAACATTGGTGGTGTGTTATCAACATTATTCTCATCCTAAATCCAAAACACAGCACTCTACCAGCTACTAGGAAGAAAATTAACTCTATCCCAGCTGAAACCAGGACACTAGACATAATCATAGCAACATCACTGTCTTGCATCCAAAGCATGTTTTCTTGACAAGGTTAATACAACCTGTAAGCTCACAATGGATATGTGGTCCTTTTGCTAGTATTTAGTTAAATGATGGTATAGATGAGCCATAATTGAAAGAGGACAAAATTGAACTTTTTTCCTTTTCATATAAAACTATGTCAGCACAGATCTTACAAAAAAACCCTGGTAAAATTAAATTTGTTGTGAGAACTCAGAAGCAAGCATGCACTTCAAATGGGTGGGAATTTAATTGTCTTTTCAATTGTTTCTTTAAAAATGTTTTAATGGGTTCATAAAGTTGTTTAAAATACTTGTTAGACAAATCTTGCAATTTTTTTCTTCAACAGAACACTCAGACCACCATTAAGCTCTTCCAAGAGTGTTGTCCTCATTCTACCGACAGAGTGGTGCTTATTGGTGGAAAACCTGATAGAGTCGTTGAATGTATCAAGATTATCTTGGATCTTATCTCTGAGGTAATGTTTATTAAATTTATTTTATTCTTTCATTGGCATTCATGAATGTTAGGGATCATTTGGATGAAAAATGGTATCTTTCTATTTTGATTTCAGTACCTCCTACTTTCCCAGTAACAAAGTGATTGACTTTTGCAACCTTTTGAAACTGTTTCAGTTTTCTAGGATTGGGGTGCACCTTATGGGGGAGGGAAGCAATTTTGGGTACTAGGGGGCCATTATTCATGCTTTGCATATCATTAAGATGCAAAAATTGAAGAGGAAGGGAGACAAAATTTATTTGCCACTGTTAAGTTAACAGCAGTCTCTCTATCATAGTTAAGTTCACAGGAAACACATCACCATGTCCTTTCTTACTAGCACTGTGACATGAATAACATGTTCCAAATGCATAAATTTGTATTTATACTTCTAATATATTAATTTAATTAAATATGCCAATTGTCATAATCCTAACTGGGTTTGGGGGGGATTTTTTGTTTGTTTGTTTTAGTCTCCAATTAAAGGACGGGCCCAGCCTTATGATCCCAATTTCTATGATGAAACATACGACTATGGTGGCTTTACAATGATGTTTGATGATAGAAGGGGACGTCCAGTAGGCTTTCCGATGCGTGGAAGAGGAGGTTTTGATCGAATGCCCCCTGGTCGTGGCGGACGACCTATGCCTCCATCGAGAAGAGATTATGATGATATGAGCCCTCGCAGAGGACCTCCACCGCCTCCACCAGGTCGTGGTGGTAGAGGTGGCAGCAGAGCTCGTAATCTTCCTCTTCCTCCTCCACCACCTCCTCGTGGCGGGTGAGTTGTTGCATAAATGCATTATACAAAACTCACGTTGTGTACAATCTCCTGAATCATACTCATCTTTCCAATGTTTTTTCCATGCTTCCATGTTGGTAGTGATTAAGCAGGATTGAGTGTGTATTAGACCAGAGTATTTTGAAAAGTACTGGAATTTAATTATTTGCTGCACTGTAGTAGTCTAGCAGGACTATAGTCAGTAGTTCTGAAACTTTTGTGTCATTCAGTACTTGGCTAGAGCAGTTTGAAATTAAGTTGTGTGTGAACCATGAATGTGAAAATTTAGATTAGACTAGATAAACTAGTTTATAACGCAATTCACATACTGCTGCTTTTTTCATTTTAGAGATCTTATGTCCTATGACCGAAGGGGCAGACCGGGAGACCGTTACGATGGCATGGTATGAATTTAAAACTTGCTTTGTTCTGTTTTGTAAGCACAGTTAGCATGGTGACTGTCTGAAGATACTGTTGCTGAACACATGCACTTAACTGTGGGACATGCATGGTTCTGATGATACAACCAAAATGTTTTGTCCATACAAATGGTCTCTCCTGTGGAGGAATGTTTGGGGTGTAAGTGGTATCTGAGACATGATCTGTTTTCTCTCTTTCCTCCCTGCCATCAAAAATGATAGAGAAAGTTTGACTGTGCTCTACCCTGCACGTTTTCTTGCACTGACCGTCTTTTAGACTTTTTTAATCAGGATGACAGAGATAGGAATTGGTAGGCTTTTCAGATAAAGAAAACATGTCAGAACAATGTTCTCTGAAGTTCTTTGATTCATACAAGCATTCTTAACACTAATGTTGGAAAACAGGAGTATAGATAGAATAATACAGATTATAGAATAGTATCTATGAAGAGCTCTAGTCGATCTGGAAGGTGACTGCTCTTTTGAATCAATTCTTGTCTATTTGCTGGTTTCTCTGTCTGCAAAAAATCCACTGTAATTCCAAATGTTTTGAAGCTAGAGCCACTATTAAGTTGTATTCTAAAATGCAACTTTCCAGCAGTCATCTGCTGTCGTACTAGATTCCTCTTTCCTGGGAAGAGAATTCATAGGTGTCTGGGAGGTAAATCTCTATAGTAACAATCTTCTTTTCTCCTCTGGCTTTGTTTGGCACCTTCTTTAAGATGACAGGTGAGACAAGTTTTTTTTTTTTTTTTTTTCTTTTAAATGGATGGAAGAGAAAGAAGTGGAGAAGAGCTATGAAATGGGCTACCTAAATGAGCTTTACACATTGCCTCCTTGGGAGTATGAGTTACTGGAAGTACGTATTGCAAGAATGTCACACGCTTACTAGAAATATTAAAACGAAGGATTTGCACACAGTTACCAAAAAAAAAGTGTTACCCATGCTACTTTACATGTTAAAAACTGGAAGAATTGAGAAGTACGCTTCCAAGATTTCTTATTTGTATTTACATGTTTCCAAAGCTCAGTTTTTGTGTTCTTGTATTTGCAGCTAATAAAGCCAGTGTTAGAGCATATAAACTGAGCAGCCTGCCCTTCTTTGGGTATCTGGTTGAGCACGGTCTTACTTAGCTTGACTCTTGGGCAGTAGTGTGTTCTATTTTTTATTCCACTCCAGCTAGAATAGAAAATCCGTTTTGACTTCCATGTAGCCCGACTTTTGTCAGGTTGACCTTTGCTTTCTTGACATGAGTTTCTACAAGTAAGTGGAGTCATCTCTGTTCATTTTTTCATTCTAAAAAGCAATTTTATTTCCTCTTTACAGTGAAGCTGCTCATGGCTTTGGCTCCTTTATGACCAAGTATCATAGCCTGGTTAAAGTCAGGACTGCTTCCCAACAAAGACTGTATTTCATTTCTAGTTTTAACCATGATCCTAGTATCCTAAATTGTGTAAGCAGATAGGAAGTCTTCACACGGATTATGAAGCTGGAGCTGGAAATGTCATGCCAGGAATGTAAGGTCTTCCAATGCTATCCTTCGTTTCATATAGAAACCGTTCTCTAGCAAAGCATTTAAACTAGAGTAAACCAACATCATTGTGGTTTGTGAACTAAGTAATGCATGGGAAAGGCTGCTCTCAGAGGGCAGAAGTGCTCTTTCATATAGATTCTGTTTTACGTAGATGAAATAAAAGGCAAGAATAGATGCTTTTCTCAGATGAACATCTCTCAAATCATGGAAATGTTGAATGTACAGAAATAATTTTTTTTCTTGTCAGTTCTCTTTTCTACTAAGGCAGAAAGATTGAGTAGTTCAGGACCTTTAAAACTGGATGCTGAACTGTGAATTTTCTGGAATTCCAGAGATATGACAGTATTGACAGCCTTGTAAATGCTGAGATGAGAAAAACCCATTTTGATTTGATAGGTTAATTCTCCTTGCCCATGCAGAGTCACCCCACTTAAGAAGACACTTGTCTGTTAGCCTGGCTTACAGTTGTAGTTTAATTATGCACTGCTGTTGAAAGAGTTCATTTGGTTTATAATCTCTGTTCTGAAGCTTTTTGCTGAAGGACAGACGTATTGTTTCTCTGTTAACAGAGCTATATATTGTAGTGTGTAACTACTCCAAATTAAATGCCTGTGGAACATAAGGGCTATTCTGACAGTTGTAAAAACCTGAATGTATTTCCAGTATTTCTTTAACACCCTCATCCTCAGGGGTCTTTCAGATACATAAATGCACACAGATACCAGTGGGAGGGGTGGAAAATAAACTGGACAAGCATATAAAGTCATTTTATCCCCTCACCTCTTTTTTAGTTAACTGATCAGGTACTAAAATTTTCAAGTACTAAAGATTTTAAAATCTGAGTTAATAGAGACTTAAATCAGAATGTCTCCTGTTAAGTGGATTGTCTCTTCACAGACTTCTGTGAGTGTCTTCAGACTTTTAATGTGCTTTTGCTCCTTCAAATGCTTCCTCAATTTTTTAACTTACATATGTATGTGTACATACACGTGTCTTGACGTGTAAACACTTGAATAAAGGCACATACACTTTAAAAAATACAAAATGTTCTTCATGTTTACGAGATGTGACATTAACAAGCATGTAAAAATCAGTAAAGGAAGAATATATGACAGCTCTTCTATTTATCCATGCAGATGCTGCAAGAAAGTAACAAAATCTCACTCTCCTAGGTCACTCTGTTAAAAACCAGAGAAATTATGATAAAACAATTTGACATCAGTTAGGACTGCATACATTTTCGTTCATTAGATGTAAAAGTTATCTTTGCCTTACCCAGCCAGTGTGTCATCTGGTTTCTATTCTAGTACCAGTAGTCACTAGCACCAGTGAGCCTGTAGAGTAGAATATTCTGTTACATATGTTAAGATACCCTGCTTGAGAAGCTGGTTTTAGAATGCACAAATGAACATCAATTGCTGAAATCGTAGAATTCTGAAAGAAAGAAATGCTATGTATCACATGTTTTCAAAGCATAATTAAATCTCTAATATAGTGAGGCAGCAGTAGGCTGTCAGTCTAGTTATTGTCTATATGAGGTATATGGAAATGAATTGGTAGAACTTGAGAAGCTGTGTCCTTCCTGCTTGACCTGCTATTGGCATAGAGATAATCACTGCGTTACTTGTTTCAAACTTATTAAACCTTCATTTTCTAATGCATGGCAGAAATAAAAGATTTTGATACATAATAGTACTTGAAGGTGTTCTAAAAGAAAAAAAAAAGCTTTTTCAAGCTTTGCTTTGCCATTAGCTGTCTGACCTTCGTTAGAGGAAAAATCTGTTTACACCACAGAAAGAGGGGAAAAAGTGAGTGTGACTACTTACAGTTCCCTCAAAGTGAAATTAAAAGGGAGCGAGTCTTGAAAGTGGTCTAAATCACATACTTTTAAGTCTTTGTTGTAGTATAAATGTTCCGCTGTACCAGTAGATACTGTATTTGCTTGCCAAATTACCTGTAAGTCTGCATGACATAGACTTACATTTAGATTTCTTTCCTCTTTTCCTCCTGTTATGTTGTGTCTGGAAGATGATGCAGTGTCATGTGGATGCCTGTGACGACATGCAGCCACCAGAGCTGGTGAGTGTGCTCACCTTTTTTTTTTTTTGAAAACTGCTTTATTGAACAGGTTAAGTGATAATGGGAATTTCTTGATCTTGAGTGTAGTCAGTGGCAACTTGCCCCTATTGAAAATCATAAAGCTGTCCTTCTGACTCAGAATTTATTGGCAGTGTGTCTTAACAGTGTGTCCTGTGCAGGCAGGTAATGTTAATAGAAATGTGGAAGTATACAGCAGCACAGCCAAAAGAGAGGAGCTTTTCTGTACCTCTTTTTGCCTCTTTTAGACCCCATTTTCATGTTGTAGATAGTAACTTTCTCCATAACTGATGCACTGTAGATGCATGCATTTAGGATACGTATTTTGTATTAACTTCATAATATTGTGTTTTTTCATATTTCAAACAGCAAAGATTAAAAGTAGCTTCTTTTTTATATTTGTGGATAAACTATTGTGCTTTACTATCAATGTATTTGAAAATACACCATTTGGTCAGATAGGTTTTGCGAAGGGAAGTTATGGGGTTCGTCAGGTGCTCATGCTGTCTAGAAGATGGCAAAGTGCTGCCAAATACTAAACGTCAGTTTTTAGCTTACATAAATACAGCAAATGTAATTGCTTAACTCATCTGCTGTCAAGTTTATTTGCTGTCCTGTAGTCTGGGGAGGCAGAAATGATCGAGGAAAGGATTGTTCTTCAAAACAGTTAGCCCAAAAAGGGATCCTTTAGCAAATATCAATAGGAGTATGTCTGTGTGTATGCAGTATGCTGCTCTGATCAGCCTCTGAATTAAGTCTTAAGCAGAGTCCTTCATTCTCTTGTGTTTTGGACTTCACTATAAGCTCTATTATGTTGTATTACAATCTGTATTGCTAAGTAACGTGATTGCACAATATAGGTTGCTTAGAGACAGAGGATAAGCTCAACTCTTTGGTCTGAGTAGCTTCCATTTTGATGTTCTAAGAAGGTAGCAGGGTAAACAGTATTTTGGGAAAAGTTGTTGCATTACAATGTCTGCAAACAAGTAGTTGTGGTTGGTTGAACTTGGCTGGCTGCCAGATGCCCACGCAGCCACTCTCTCACTCCCCTCCTCAGCAGGATGAGGGGAGAAAGTAAGATGGAAAAGCTTGTGGCTCAAGGGAGATGACTTACTAATTACCATCATGGGCAAAACAAAGTCGACTGGGGGAAGATTAATTTATTGCCACTTAAAAATAGAGTAGCATGGCGAGAAACAATGAGGAAAACTAAAAACACCTTTCCCCCACCCTTCACGTCTTCCCAGGCTCAACTTTAGTCCTTCATTTCCTACTCTGCTACTTCCTCTGCCATGAGTGGTGCAGGGGGGATGGGGAATGACAGGCTGCAGAAGTTCATCACACTTTGTCTCCGTTCCTTCCTCCTCACACGGTTCCCCTGCTCCAGTATGGGGTCCCTCCCATGGGATACACTTGTTCATAAACTGCTTGAATGTGTGTGTTTCCAAAGGACTGCAGTTCTTCAAGAACTGCTCCAGCCTGGGTCCTCTTCGTGGGGTACAGTCCTTGAGGAACACACTGCTCCAGCACGGGTCTGCCGCAGGCCACCAGTCCTGCCGGGCGCCTGCACCTGTGTGCGCTCTCTACAGGCTGCAGCTTCCTTCAGGGCATGTCTGCCTGCTCCCAGCATAGAATCCTCCATGGGCAGCAGTGTGGCTATCTGCTCCAGCATGGTTCTCTTCATGGGCTGCAAGGAGAATCTCCGTTCCAGTGCCCGGAGCACTCTTCACCCTCCTTCACTGTGATGTCTGCAGCGTTGTTTTTCTCACTTTTTTCCCCCTTGCTCATCTCTCACAACTGGTGCACAACGGGGGTTTTTTTACCGTTTCTTAAATGTTACCACAGAGGTGTCACCAGCTTTGCCAATGGTCTCAGCTTGAGGCAGCAGTGAGTCCATTTTGGTGTTGGCTAGAACTGACTGGCTTTGTCTGGCACAGGGACAGCCCCATGCCTCTTCTCACAGAGGCCGCCCAGCAGTCTCCCAGAAGTTGAATTCTGAATAACTGTGCATATTTATTCTCTGCTTCTAAAGGAAAGTATAAAAATGGGGTCTTGTGCACTTAGAAGACATTAGATGAAACCAAGCACTTGATGTCACATACTGGTCTACAAATCCTAAAAATGAAAAGAGGCCGGGAGTGCTTGTTGCAGCGATTTGGATTTGGTATATGGTGGTTTTAGCAGAACAGAAGTAACTCATGTCATGATTATCTGTTCTAAAATACAAAGGATTGTAGCATAGTCTGAATCAAGACACAAGTTACAGAGCTATTCCTAAGAGCTTTGGTTTTTTTACTGAAGGCATAAATGAAGTAGGAGGATTGACAGTCACTGGGTAAACTTTCTGTCCCAAAACCGGAGACTTCAGTCTCTCCTGAGCTGTACTGGTAGCATGAATAAGGCTGTACTCTGATCTTTTCATTTGAGTGTTAGTTTAGTCCAAGGTGTGGGAGTAGGTCAACACCAAGAGCTGTTTACCAGCAGCTGAATTAGTGAGACTGCTTGGTAAAGTGGTATAGCTGGATCGTTTATGTCATTTTATGCCTTACTCCTAGAGGTTTTGACAGGGCAGGATGAGAGAGTAACGAGATTTCACCCACCCACTCCTTTTGTTTCTGCTCTGCCCTCTTTGCTTCATATGCCTTTGATGGCACAACACTGTTCTATTTATAGTAAGGTTGGGGGTTGGGCTTTTTGCATAAAATAGGCTCAAAGTGAACAATATGATACTTAGGGTGAAAGTATGTTAGTGAAGCATGGCTATTTACTATTTAAGGTTTTTTTCTCTTTCTCTTACAGTTTGAGGGTGGCTCTGGATATGGTAAGTATTTATATAGAACCTTTACATGCACTTCATTATGTAGTTATTAAAGGGCTTGATACATACATTTAAATCAGACTATTCTTACGCAGGGGGGCGCGGTTCATATGGAGACCTTGGTGGACCTATCATCACAACACAAGTAACGATTCCCAAAGATGTAAGTAAAGTTGACTTGCTTTCAACTTGTGTTTTCTCTTTTAAAAAACAAAAAAAAAGTCATAGCCTTTTCTCATACTATATAAGTAAATCAGAAGTATTTAGGGTGCTTGATAAGTACTTCTAATGTTTTTAAAACAAGTGTTTCTAAATCACCAGAAGTCTATTCTTCGGGTGTTTGGTTTGTGTCTTCACTTTAGAGACACGCTAAACAATTTTATTGTTAATGTTCAGTAATAGAGGTGGTCTATGTAACTTGTTTTTTGCAAATGAGCAACTGGTTCTCCCAGTTCTATCCCACCTGTGTTTATACAATTAATATTGCAGGGGAAGTTTTGAGGCTGTAAGGAAGCAAGCTTCCATTGCAGCTCTTTAAACTTACGGAAGCTACTCAAACACTGCTGTGATTTTCATAACTGTTTTCAGAGAGGAAGTTTTATCAGGAAATGAATGTTTGCTTTCTCCCCTAGTTGGCAGGATCTATTATTGGAAAGGGAGGCCAGAGAATCAAACAAATACGTCATGAGTCAGGAGCTTCGATCAAAATTGACGAACCATTAGAAGGCTCAGAAGATCGGATAATAACTATTACGGGAACACAGGACCAGATACAAAATGCACAGTATTTACTGCAGAACAGGCAAGTTGAAGTTTAATGTTGTCCCTGCTGTCAATTTCAAACTGACTTGACTTGTACATTCTAAAGCTGCTCTTCTCTGTGATACAGTTTTTAGAAGGCAGGTTTTTTAAGTAACTATTTGAACCTAACTTCTCTAATGGTAGTTCTGCCTTGATTCTCTTCTGTCCTCTATTCTAATTAAAATGAAGACACCCTCAAAACTAATCTTGCTGGAAGACGCCTTAACCAAGCAGTCCTCTCATTTCTCTGGTGAAAACTGCTGCAAAAAAACTACTTGTAATAAATTACATAGAGCCTGTAGAAAATATAGAAGATTTCAGTGGATGTTGGTCTAGTTCTGTGTGGAAGACTAGTGATTTTGTTGTTTTTAGATAACTAAATTGACAACAAATCACAGTCTGCCATATGGCACAGATCATGCCTCTACAGGACAAGTTGAAATCGATTTGGTGCTGTTATGCAGCATTTCACACCTTGCTGACATTACTTTGTCTTTTCTGCCAAATATTAACAGCTTCAGATTTAATTTGCTTTAGTTTTGCTTTATTAACATGTTGGCTGTCATAGCAGATGTTCATGTTTTTAACTTGAATGTTTGGCTTTAGATTACTAATAATTTAAATGTGCCTAAAATATATCAATATACCTATAATAGCCATTAATCTTTAAAAATTATTTACTTTTAAATGTATTAGGAATTTGTAATTTAATCTGCTCTAAGAATGTCATTGTGAATGTTGATGCAAGATGTATGGTCCATCATTCTAATACATGCTTTTTTCTTTTTCTTTTATAGTGTGAAGCAGTATGCAGATGTTGAAGGATTCTAATGCAAGATTATTTTTTCTTTTTTATAGTGTGAAGCAGTATTCTGGAAAGTTTTTCTAAGACTAGTGAAGAACTGAAGGAGTCCTGCACCCTTTTTTTTTTTATCTGCTTCTGTTTAAAAAGCCAACATTCCTCTGCTTCATAGGTGTTCTGCATTTGAGGTGTAGTGGAATCTTTGCTGTCCACCAGATGTAATGTTTTAGTTCCTTACAAATACGTGGGGGGAGGGAAAAGGGCGCACGAGACTAACATTGAAATTTTGAAGCAGCAGCAGAGAGAGTGAATTATATTTTTGTTCATTGTTGGTGGTAAACTGTAATGTTTTTCTGTAATTGTTGTGAACACCCTGCTTTATGTACACTATTTTTGTTGGAAGGGGGGAGAGTACGGCTAGTCCACATGTCCCTGGCATCCTTTGAGAGCGGTGTGCAGAATGTAATACTCTTTTGTAAGAAACATTTTATGATTTTTAAATAAATTTAGTGAACCTATTCTTGGTGGTCATTTTTCTTAAGATATACTAAGGTAATATCTAAAATGGATACCCCCTTTTTTTTCCCCCACAAGAAAATGCATAAATGATGAAAGTTGCTGTTCAGCTTGCTCTTCTGCTTCTTTGATGTAGATGGAGTTATGTGGGTTTTTCTGACAAATTAAAGAAACTGTGTGGAAAAAAATGACTCTGCTTTGCTGTTTGGGAAAAAATGCAAAAATATTCATGCAAATGTTGTGTAAAACTTGATATTTTCGCAAGTGTTTGGCCCTCTTTGCAGTACATATATATATTGGTGACAGTATATAAATAAAATATTTAAAAACTTTGTGATGTCACTGAGTACACAGTGGTAAAGTACACCTGGTTGTAGACAGCTTGCTTAATGCAGATAACACTGTTAGAAACGACAGTTGCTGTACCATTACTGAACGAATTATAGTTGTTTTCCGAGCTTTCATTTGTATGAGGTAGAAATTCTTATAAATTGGCAAATTGACGCTATCTAACTCTGTAACTTGTTTTTCATTGTATGCAAAACTTAAACTTGTTTGGTTTCTCTGTTGTATGTTGAATTCCATAGGAATTATTTGTGAGAAATTAAAAAATATAAAGCCTCTGGATATCTCATGTAATACCTTGGCATTTGTATTTATAGTTTACAAGTTTTAATTTCACTTCCTGAATAAAAACAAATTTAAAAATCCAAGTGTGTTGCATATACAGATGTGATGGGTCCAGACTAAGTGTGGATTCTTTTACTGTTTTTTTTGGTTTGGGGTTTTTTTTTCTCCCTTGGGCTGTGCAACATTTCACTTTGCCTTTTTAATGGTGCGGGGCAATTCCTGTCCTAGTAAGCAGCCGCTCCTAAAGTCTAATGGGAAAGGCAAGGAGCTAAGAGGTTGTGGGTGAGGCCGACCTCCTTGGCAGAAGAGCAGGGAGGTGCTAATCCCTTAGAGAAAAAAAACGCCGGCGCCTGGCCTTTGGGCTGCGGGCGGGAGGACGGCAGTCGGCCCAGCAGCTGAAGGCGCCTGCGGAGCCGGCGCTGGCTTGGGGAAGGCTGAAGGTAGGTTAGCCGGAGGGAGAGATCTGCCGCGCAGGCAAAGGTTTTGGGCAAGACGCACCTGAACGAAGACACGGGTGCCGAATTTTTCCGTGTGCCTCCAACTTGTGTATGGGCGGAAGGGTGGGGTTGCGGGTGATGGTTTGGTTTTGGTGGTGGGTTTTTTTTTTTCACATGGGGAGAAAAGCCCAGGTATCACCATGCAAATGTTTTTCGTTTGTTTGCCTTTCCCTTGTCTTCTTCGGTGATGCGGGTCTTCTGGAAAACAACCTGACCACGAGGCTGAGCACGTGCGCTGCTCCAGCTTGGCAGGATTCGGGGGGATTTTCTTAGAACGAGCGCCCATGATTTTGGCCGCGCCACGGGGCTTCCCGGCGGCCGAGGCGCTCCCGCGGGTCTGGGGTCAGCCCGCATCCTCCCTCGGGTCTCCGCCCTGCCCTCC